TTCGCAGACATCGGTGGTCAAATACAGAAAGTCGATTAGCATCCTCTGGTCAGAGAGGCCCGCTTTCCCAACCGTAAAGCAGAACACTACGAACTGCGGCGATGTTTACCCTTCCCTTAAGGGAGAGTCGGATGTCATGGCGGCGCCACATGTGTCGCAGGTTGGCAAAAGCTGCTCTAGCTTTCGCCATTCGTGATGTGATCTCGTCCCCAGCACCACTACCAGCTGCAATCAAGCTCCCGAGGTACTTAGAGTTCTCAACTACTTCTAGCTGGTCACCACAGAGGGTGAATGCAGGCACAGGCTCCTGCCAGTTTTAAATAAGCACTTTGCACCTGGAAGGTGCAAAGCACATACTGTACCTGGATACCTCGATCGCCAAGCGATTCAAAGCCTCTTGGACTGCCTGTGTCTTGTCACCTAGTAAGGCGATGTCATCGGCATACTCCAAGTCAAGAGCTCTATTCCCTGGGAGGAGTTCGACTCTACCGTTTGCTAGACCGGACAAGGCATTCTGTAGAACATCCTCTATGACAAAGTTGAAAAGGAATGGGGATATGGGGCAGCCTTGTCGAACTCCACTGGAGACGGCCAAGAGTGGCGAAAGTTGGCCATAGGCCCTAACCCGACCTGAGGTATGACGATACAACTCTTTGAGGATCGACACATACTTCTCAGGTCCTCCGTTGCTCAGCAAACAGTTTCATAGTGCGGTCCTATCTAACGCGTGATCGGATTCGACGGGGGTGCTCCAGTACGATCGGCAGTATTGTATACAACCCCACCATTTGTAGCTTATAGCGATGTGGTCGATCTGCGTCCGTATCTGACTCGAGGAGGGCGGACGCAAAGTGGCGTACCGGCAGTTGGAGCGTCTGGAGTTCGTACTGGCGAGGAATAGGCGGTGGTTGGAACAAAGAGCTAACAACCGTTCCCCATTTTCCGAGCGATAGAAATCTAGTCCGAAAATACCACCCAGATGCGCCTCACTCAAAGTCAGTCGGCTTACTCTAGAATTCATGTTCTGCTAAAATCACGATATCAGCTCGACTCGCTTTACCTAAGAGGTCGTGTAGACTTTGATAAAACTCATCTTTGATTGCACCTGGGCTACAGTCCGTTGGGGCGTACACCAACACGACAAACAGGTTTCGTCTATCGGGGCGACGGCTGTTTACTTTGCACGAATCTCTAACTCTTACTGCGCATAACCTACTGTCGACTGGGATTCAATCCGTAAGCGCGGCTTCAGCTCTCTCACCGAGAGCCACACCAACGCCAGCAAGACCGAAAACCGCAGCCTCAAGGTCCCCAGAGAGGCGTAAGTGAAAGTTGATTGGTTTGATGGGGACTTCAATCCGATAATGGAGCTGGAGTCTTGAATTCGAGTTTCTTGGATACAACACACATCAATGGCTAGGGTCTCGAGCGTACGAGCTAAACCGGCCTGTTGTCCTGTTCGCATCAGAGTGCGCACATTAAATGTGGCTAGTTTGAAAGGACATCGAGGGCGAAGAAGGGCTTCAGCCGGTGGAGGAATCGGTGTGACTTTGACGGTAGGCGCGGTAGGACATGAGGGAACAGCGGCAGAGTTTCCATCTGAGGCACTAGTGTTTGCCCGATTGTCTGAAGATCCCGGAAATGGGGTGGGTGAAGTGGGCGCATGTGGGATGGGAGAGGGCTGGGAGGACATGAGTGTGTGTACGGTGTAGAGTGTTTGCCTCTAGTTGCAAAAATAGTAGATTCGATGCACCTGGAAGTCGAAGAGATCATCGTTTTTGGCGTTGTGGGCTGTTGCACTGCTCCGTCGCCCGATCCAGAGTAGACCTTGTTCGAAGGTACACTCTAGCCTTTGCGCAACCAAGTGCGGACTGCAAGGCATCAGCCATATTCCAAATGAGCCGGTGGCCAGTGATTGGTTCATTCGCCTCTTTTGGAAAGCCTTGTCCAGCAATGGATCTTGACAATCAGCAATGACCCTATTTAGTGGAGGGCCACACTCGCCACGTCACAGCGCTGTCCGCGGATATATGTGGCATTTTGTACGGAGAACCCTTGCCAGGGGTAAACGCACCACATTCTCGAGCTGATTGTTCGCGATCGCTTATTCGGAGAGCCGAGGCCCACCTTATTCATGGTTAGCCGTGAAATGACGGCCGCGATCTGGGGACGCGCTCGGTAGCATACAGCTCTGCTCTCCCGAGCGGTAGTGAGTAAGGCTTTCTCAACACAAGCTATTCGAGACACTTGGTTTTATGGAAGTATTTCGCGAGGTGAAAGGGAAGGGCTACCAGCCACAAACCGAGAAACCCACTCCCGAGCATAGTGAGGCTAACATAATGGGTACGCGCAGCTATTGATACCAGGGGAAATAACATTACTGATATTTCGTATATTCAATGTATTTCACACGCGTCTGAGTTATGTAGTCTTGTCAAAGATTATTGTACCATGATTTGTCTGGCATACAGTAGTTAGTTGTTAGTTCTGCAGTTGGTTGCGAACGGCATTTCACCGTATATCGTTGTGCATTTACAGTCATTGTCATCATTCATAAATACTTCATTCACAGTTCGCCCTTTATCTCTCCTCACCAACCTATACAGGCTTTGAACACCGTCCAACCGGACACATGCGCTCCCACAGAGTCCGATAACAGTGACACGGCGGAACTGGCTGCCCAAGCTTCTCAGTGGCTAACTCGTGCACTGAAGTTCAATCCACAGTGCGCAGATGCGTGGTGCGAGCTGGGTGAGTGTTGTTGGCGCCAAGGCGATCCATCTGAAGCGGCCAATCATTTTCGTCAAGCATTGAAAGTCAATGTAAGTTTGTTTTCACAGCGCACAACTTACGCCTACGATACTGACTGTAGCTACTTTTTTTCTTGCGTTTGGAAGGGCAGCCCAAGTATTTAGCACATCCTGTCCGCGTTGCGATCCCGGTGAACCGGCAATACTGATAATTCATAACAAGCTGGGTGACAGCTGCGCAATGACCCAATTATGATTATTATTTTTCAAGTTTAAATTTTACAAGTGAGTATTGGATAATTTGACTTACACATTCGTGGCAAGTCCCGACAAGGTCATAACAGATTACTAGTGCATTTTGTCAATAATCATTTGAGGCACCGAAATGACATTCACACGTCATTTGAGAGTCTGTTGTTTGATACGATGCGGTGACCGGTCTTACACGTTGCTTACCCGGTACGCAGATCATTTGCTCATAGAAGCCAGCTCTTGACTTGGTGAACAGTTATTGTGATGAGAGCTCATTTAATACCGCAGATCACCTGCATCGGATGTCACATGACTGGTGAGCCTCGTTATCCACCTTATCAGTATTTATGGGCCCAGTGTTTATCGATTTGTATTTTGAGCCCGTAAACCATGTTGACACCATTACACTCAGCCTGTTCCAGTTCAAGGACTTGTGTTTTCAGCACGACGAGACTGCACCTTAACGTAGTGTGATGGCTTGTGCACCTCTGTTACCCAACGAGTTACACAGGATAGCTTTTGTCGAGCCATAGATCTTATCATGCCTAAAAGGTCAATGGACAGAGGTCGAAGTTTAGTCTCCTGGTCCTCCAGGTTTGGGATTCGACTTGAGTTAGCATCTCAGTCGGTAAAACGTGTTGGAGGAGTAGTTGATCGAAGTTAATGGGCCTCCAATCCGCCCTAACCGCTGTCTTGCTTTTAGGTTCGTGTCAGAACTGAGAGAACCCAAATCGTTCTCCTGCTTAGTGGATGGATGCCCAGATACCAGATCTACGTGCAAAAAGGGTTTATCACTTTGTAGACGTTTGAAGATTCCAGTATTTCGGTATACTCTTCAGTTA